AGGTCTGCTTCACTGTGCAGAAGCCCCAGCTCCCCAGGCTTGCTGTGTGCCCAGCTTGGCATTCATGTGCACTGAGATTTTCGGCCTTCCCTGTTCTGGTAGCTCTTCAACTCAGATTCAAATGTGGCTGTGAAAAATTCAGTTGGCACCTGTTTTCTCCATCTAGCATTTCAACAGACAGCTCTGAGGGGAGCCAGACTCCTAATTCCTGCTATGCTTTAATCTCCAGACTCAAACTAGTTCTGGCATATCTCCATAGAAAGCTCATATATGCCACTGTCCTTTGACAGGTACAGCTTGATCCTAAAGGACTATCTCCACCACAATTTATAATGAATCATAATAAATAGACCTCACAACAACTTGCCCAGGAACTAAACTGTTTCCGACAGCCCCAAAACTGTTATGATTAGTCACATAAAGTCCTGCGTTGAAATATGAAACATCCAACACTGTGTGGCAATAAGAGAATTTTGTGCCCTAATCTGGTTTTGTGTGTACTTTTAAATCTTGAGAACTCTTAACACATAAATAGGGACTTTACAAATTTCTGAGTTTCAGCTGTTTCAGTTGAATTGAGTAAACTGCGGTTTCCTAATTCCCAGTCAATTCAGCTATAAACCCCCAATCACTGCCAATTCATTACATATTAGTTTTACCAGAATAGATCCAAATTCCTTTGATAACCACGAGGAAACTCTGAGCACTGTCTTTGTTCTAGAGAATTTCCACTATCATTTAGCATTAGTCAAGCACTAATGGACATTAAAAAATAAAGAATTGCTGTAGACTGTAAAAAATATATAATTTCAACTTTCCCATGTGACTGACGCTTTGAGAAATTGACTGACATAGCTATAACAAAATAATTATCCTGTTATAGCTGTGGCTGTATAACTTCTCCACATGGACACTCTATTCTAAAATTTAAGTGATTTTATTACAGAATAATTACTCAAGGACTTTAGACCAGAATGAGGTTCTGCACAGGAGAGTTTTGCCAGTGTGGCTCTGGTGATTTAAATTCACCATACTAAGCAGGTAAATTTTGCTGTGCAGACTCTCAGGAGAGCCTGCCAGCAGTGTTAGATAAGACATCCCAATTCTGTATTATCTGAAAATTGAACTTCTGCACTGTACAGGGCATAGCATCCTATTTTGCATGCATTGTCAAACAGGCAGGGCTTTTGCCTCCCAAGGGAATGTCTTCTTGAAGCTCAGAAGGAAAGATAGGCATCGTTCAGTTGTGGGAAAAAGAAGTGGGATTTGGTAAATCCAGAGTCACATTTTCCAAGTACACTATCACTTCCATTTACAAACGTGAACTCTGGATGCACAGCCTTCCCACCCACTTGCCTATACTTTTTGGCTAGAAGAACACACCTCTGATGCCAAATTCCTTTTCCTTGCTGGTGTTCTCCCGATGGGCTTTTAGGAGCACACGGGTTACCGCTGTCCTTTCCAACACGCCGTGCTCCCAGCACACTGTCCGGACGTGCTGCCGAGCCCCTGGCTCCTCTGCCCTGCCCTGGCTGCCAGCCCGCGCTGCCTGAGTCACCCTGGCCACGAATTATTCATTCGATCCACCGAGCATCATCACAAACCACATTCTTTTACACACGCCTCTGCTAGCAAATATCGTGATGGTTTGGGTCGTAGGGACACGGGGCGAGCCGTAAGTGTGGAGTGCCCAAAGGACTCGCATCCTCCTCCTCCTCCTCTCCGCATCAGCCGGCTCCGGCGGGCGCTGGTCACGCTGGAACAGGGAGCTGTGTTCTGCCTGATCTCGGCTGCAGGAACAGCTCTGGGCTCTGCACAGAGACCACCCGGGAACCTTGGGTGCTCCAGGCACAGAGTCATTTACCACGTGTTTGAAATTGAACTAGTGGAAAGATCTTGTTCAGTCCCAAAACACAGCTGAGCTAACACACAGGAATCAAAGGAAACAAGCAGCCCTATTAACAGCAGGATCAGTGAAGCCTGGTTTGCTGCGCATTTGTCTTTCAAAGTTGAGCTCCTCTGCTCAACTCTCTGAGGGAATCTCCTTCATGCCTAAAACTGAGTTTGTGCCTTTTATTTGAAGGATAAGTGTACTGGCTTTGCATGACAAGGTTTTGGTGGCAGGGGGGCTACGGAGATGGCTTCTGTGAGGAGCTGCTAGAAGCTTCCCCTATGTCCAACAGAGTCAGAGCCAGCTGGCTCCAAGACGGACCCACCACTGGCCAAGGCCAGTCCATCAGCAACAGTGGTAAAGCCTCTGAGATAAAGGATTTTAAAAGGTGTGGTGGGGGGTAGGAGTGCCTGTGCAGCTGCAGCTGGAGAAATAAGCAAGAAAAACAGCCCTGTAGGCACCAAGGTCAGTGAAAGGGGAGGAGGTGCTCCAGGCACCAGAGCAGAAATTCCCCTGCATCCCGTAATGAATGATGACCCCAGTGAGGCAGGCTGTTCATATGCAGCCCATAAAGGTCCATGATGGAGCAGATACTCCCCTGTAGCCTGGGGAAGACCCCACACTGTAGCAGGGAGATGCCCAAAGGAAGCTATGACCGTGTGGAATTCTGCACTGGAACAAGTTTGCTGGCAGGTCTTGTGCTCTCCCTGGCATCCCTGAGAGGGTCAGCTTTCTGAGCTGTGGACCACTCCTCAGGACAGCGGGGGAGGGGACTGGGCCGGAGAGATGGGAGGAAATGTTTTTCTGTACATTTCTTCTTAGTCCAAAATCAGGGGGAGTAGCCATACATGGGACATCCTGTTTTGAAAGAGATTTCTTAGAAGTAATCATTTTTTCCCCCAGAAATTTTGACATTCTGGACTCTACTCACCATTTCTGGGTTTTATTGTCATGGAAAAAGAGTTCTGCAGCATTAGAAAGCAAGGAAATACTGAACAGCTCTCGCCTTGCAGCTAAGTGTGATCCAAGCTCCGTTGCAGTCAGAGCCAGGAGTCCCACTGACGTCAATGAGGCAGGGATTTCACTTCTGAAAGCTTGGTTTTTGTTTTGTGTTTGTGTTAAAGAGCCTGAGAACCCATGCTTGATAAGGTCATGCAAGCCCAGCAGGGTCGATAGAATGCTCTTCTCCTCTCTCAGATCCCAAGCACAGCCCAGACCACTCTGTGTGTGTCTGCCTCTGAATTATTTAACTGTCCAGCTGGTTAAAAATAGCACAGCAGCAACTCCCTTTCCAGCCTCTGACTGTTAAATGGGCCATCAGAGCCCAGCCAAGGCCGAGGTCGTGGCCTGGGCTGCACATGTGGCCAGGGCAAGCTGGATGCCAGAGGGAGGGAGAAGCATGTCGCCGCAAAGCCTGGTTCCAGCACGATGATATCAGCCTGTGAAAGAAAAGCAAGGCAAACTCAGAACACTATGAAGCTGCCAAAGAAAACAGTGTCTTCACAATGAACAAAAGTCTGATTAATTATTAATTGTCTGGCAGCTAATTAGCATTCCCTTGGGCAGCTGTCTACAGAGTGCCTTATATTTCCAACACACCGTGGGCCAACATCATCGATGCAAATGGCTTTGGAGAAGAGTTAGCAACTGATTTGTTGCCTGAAACAAGTTGTTCCCCTCCCATCTCCCCATCTCCTCCTGTCACCTCTCTTTTCTCCACCCAGGGACTTGGGCTCATTACAGCATGAGCTAAGCAGAAAACATCCCTTGCTGATGAATCTCCTTCCTGTGGTGCTTTTCCAAGGCAGCCGGACACCTCCCAGCAGCCACCCCTGTGCACAACCCCAGCCTGTGTAACAGGAGGGTGACTGCAGTGCTCCAGCCCTGCAAAAAGCCTTCTTTGGCTGTTGTGTGGCCAGAGGGGAGGGGAGCAGCTCTGGGTGGTGAGACACTGATCAACTGCAGAGGCAGCAACCCAGGCTGGGGTTTAGAGCTCAAGGCAGCATTTAGGGAATTCAGCATCAGCTCATCATAGAATCATTTAGGTTAGAAAAGACTTGTAATATCATCGGGTCCAACCCACTGCCAAGGCCACTTCTAAGCCATGTCCTTAAGCACCACATCTACACATCTTTTAAATCCCTCCAGGGATGGTGACTCCACCACCCCGCTGGGCAGCCTGATCTAATTCTTGACAACCCATTCGGTGAAGAAGTGCTTCCTAATATTCTAGCTAAACCTCTCTGCTTGCATTCAGCTCCTATTATTGTTAATGGGACTTAGGCACATACATAAAGGGCAAGCAGACCCCTTACGAGAGCATAAACATAAATTACAGCTATGTACAGGCAGAGCAAGCCTTCAACTTGCTGTTTTACAATGCCAACAGAGATGCACTTTCCTTTTTAAGAACTTAGCAGCTTTAATTTTTTTTATCATACCACTTGGCAAAGGCTGTCCACAAACCTGTGCAGACTAGGAAAGAAGTTTAGGATTACTAGTGTCTCCAAAATGCACCTTTCTGAAGTTTAAGCAGGTGTCATGCTGTCCTGCAGTACAGAATTAATTTCAAAGAGTTTTTGACATTTTCCCTGAGAAATTCACTCAGCTTCTGTATTTTACACCTGAGTGTACCTGTCACTCATATTCATTAGATGAAAATGTGTCTGAAAGCTTAACAAGTAAGCTGGCAAACTTTAAAAGGAAAGATGGTGAAGGAAACAAGGATCAACTACAGGGCAGGCTCAGGTGTCAGCTCTGGCCATCAGGAGCCAGGAGTACCAGACAAGGTGAGCTGACCTGGAATCCAGCAGAGGTAATGGATATCACCCCAACAACTTCACCAGGGCTCACACTGATGCTCCTGCTCCAGAGATTAGAGGAATGATCCCTTTCCTTGCAGACAAGGCCAGGTGATAAAAGCTGCCATGGTGATTAGAGAAGCCCTCATTAACAGGAGCACGGGATCGTTAAGCCAGAGAGCAGTTTCCTGGTCTGTTTACATATTTTTCAGAACAAGGAGTCCTGCATCTAAGACTACGTGTCCTGGCTGTTACTGCAATATAAACATCATAAAATGACTGTTTTCCTACCCCAAAGCCAGAGGATAAGTGCTGATGCAGCAAGATGATTGAGATAAAAGCAGTTGTTTTCAGAGTGAAGGGATGCAATCTGTGGGAAGTTCTTTGTTTCCAGGCAAAGAAGTCGAGCTATCAAGTGAAAAAAAAAAAAAAAAAAAAAGCCCAAATTACCACAGTCAAGTTTCAAGTTCTTATTCTCATTCTACAGGTTTACCCTGCCTGCTGCCTTGCTCTAACTCTGCACTGTGCCAGCGAGGCAGCACATTAGTCAAATATGAGACCATTAAGTTATATCTCTATAGATATGGAATATAACCCCTTGAAATATATACACACTGCAGAGGAGCAGAGCATGGTTTTGTTGTACTCCTGTTAACAGTTCTGCAAAGAACCTGCAGCTACGATGCACAGCCAGATATTTTATTAGACTACATTTCTCCTCACGTACATGAGTCATATAAAGTACATAAACTCATGAAGTCCAACTAAGACTGGCATAAATCAGGGGTAACACCAGTGGAGCCAATAGAGTTGCACTGGGGTGAAAGTGGCATAAATCAGAGGCTGATCAGGTACACATTTTCTTTAAGGTAGACAGACCATTAAGTGGCTTACATAGACTTCTTATCACATTACAGTTCTGTAAGGTAAATAACAGTCACCAAGCACTGTGTATAATGAATTGCAGCCTGCAACATACAGCAAATGGCCATTTTTCTCTGGGAATCTCTCAGCTCAGAGCTCTGAGACCAAAAATAATGGGCAATATTCTCCAGCATTCATGTGTGACATTCCCATTACTATTAATAGGAGGTATGTGCCCAAAGTCAGGATGTATTCATCAGCAATCTGAATTGGATATTACTGAGGCTCCCAATGAACATTCCAGTTTCATCCCCAGCCATGACCCTCCTAGGGATCAGCCTCAGCTCTTTACTTACCCTTGCACAGGAAAATATTTATTTGGTGTCAGGTAGAGCTGGAATCAGAGGAAGCAGGGCAGTCTGGTATCACTCACCTCTGAGCATCAGCCCCCGAAGGAGCCTCAGAGGGGCAGCCCAGCTCAGAGCAGGACTCACTGGTGCATGCTCTGGACGTCTATCACAGGAAACAGCATCAGGACTCACAGGCTGCGTGACAACTGAAGCCTGAAGAATGTAAGAGAAGTGAATTGACCACAAAGTTACAAGACAGATCAAGAATTTTGCACCTTAAATGCCCAGCCTGTTTTCCTCCCAATAAAGCCTGCTTTCTGCCTATATACACATTTTTTGTATGTTGAAAGGGCAGTAAAGAGATCAGAGTTTGTTTAGATTGAAGTTCAAAAGTAATTTGAGTAGATCAGGGTAGAGAGATGCTTCTTTAAAGCTTAGTATACACATTAATTGCTTAATTTTTAAATTAGACTTCAAGGTGACTGGAATACAGAGCTGAAGCAAGTACAACAAGCAACCAAAGTGTATCTAACAGAGGCAGAGCACACATGTGTACACAGCTCTGTTAACAGGAACAAATTGCTTCCTGCCCTGAATTGCACCTAAGAAAAGCCATAAGCTGGTTCAAAACTAAATATACACCACAGCATATGTACTTGCTAAGAAGGTCATTAGAACACAGAGCTTGGGGAGACAGCTGTGCCAGGAGAAAATAAATATAAAAATAAGATGTAGCGGAATCCGTGCAAGAGAAAATAACAGAAAAGACACAGAAGGCCAGGGAGCACAGCTGCTCGAAATAATTCTTTAGAAAAGAAATGGTGCAGCTGCATGCCTTATCCTAACCTATCTCTGAAGGTATGAACCTTGGCAACGCTATTCCTGCCCTACTCAAGTGTAAGCATGTGGCACGACAGAATGCCTTATGGAGAGACAAAGATGAGACTGCCCATCCAGCCTAAAGAATTAGGTTATAAGATCCTGGAGGTCTTGGTGCTGCAGTTTAAGTCTCCCTAGCAAAGACTTTCTTCACTGCACTAATACAGACTTCTCTCAGCTCTAAATGCAAGGCCTTAATCCCAGAGTTACTGGCTTGTCAACAGAGTCTCCCAGAATACTGTCCATACCTTGGACAAGCTGCAATTAATGTAACAGAACAATGTAAACAGGGCTCTAACCTAAACATGACTGGCAGTGATACAATAGAGGGGTCAGGGGGAAGCTAATCCAGAAATTCAGAGTGCACCCCCTTAAGCAAGGAATTTGAGTGCAACTAAAAATAGAAGGTGAGACTATCTGACAGCTAAATTGCCAGTGGTAGCTTAGCATGGATTCAGTTACATTGCTCAGCGACCCTCAGTGAATTAAATAGATTGAAATGCTAATGATAGAGTGAATTCCCAGTATAGAGGTAGAATAAAGTAGTCAGATTAGGTTTCAGACAAGGTGAGTTCAATGGCAGCAAAGAGATCAGAGTTTGTTTAGATCAAGGTACAAAAGTAATTTGTCTAGATCAGGGTAGAGAGTTGCTTCTTTAAAGCTTAGGGGCTCCCCAATGTTAAGTAACACGTCAAAAACAGTGTAGACCTGAGAAGCTATTTCAGTGACTGCTATTTTATGTGATTTCTGTCAACACTGGAACATTTCTCACTGGTCTCAATACACTCCTAATGGCATCGTCATTTATCTCCTAATTAATTAAATGCTACTCTGATGACAGATATGCAACAGTTCACCTGGGCTGTCACTCAGACTGTACTTATTTCTTCTCACTGGGTATTTCAACCAGTGCAGCGCTGCAGTGAAACCATAACTATGGCATTTATTCTCTTTGGTGTTTACAGGTGTTCACCATGACATCACAGCTTCACAAGTACACAGAGGCTCATCCCCACTGCTCCTCCTAAAGCTCAGGAAGCAGAAAGGAGTCACAGGCTTGATCAAGTGTCTTACCTGCCACTGCACAGAGCAAGCCCAGGCCAGCTGCTTTACAAAGTTTAAACCCCAGGCTAATGATAACGGAAAGTGATACTCACATAGCACACACAAAAATCAAGAACTGAACTTGAAACTCTACTTAGGGTTCACCTGTTCAAAACAACTCTGGAGGCTTTCCAGAACAGGTGTATTAATACATAAATTCCATGATCAATTTAGCCTTAAACAACTGATCCATCCCTTCTCTTCCAAGGTCACAAGGCAAGTCAATGCTATTAGATTAAAACCAAACGTGATATAAGATGCCCTGTCCTCACAGTGAGGGCAATTAAAGACCTTACTTGACAAGATAGAGGGCTCACCATCACTCAGAGCTTTAAAAATGGGATTAGGCATCCTTCTAAAGGATGTGTTTCAATTCACTACCCTTGTAATTCAGGATAGTTATTCTCCTAAGAAAGTGACATTGCAGCTTGTCATTCAACTATCAATCAGCAGTGTCATAGTACTTCAGTGTCAGTTGTCTGTTTCCATTACAATAAATAAATAAGAATTACGTATTCTAGTCAAGAAAAAGCAATGTAAGCCTGTGTAAGGTCAGGAGAGGTGGAACATGTCATGCCCATGGGAGTTGCTTTTGCTGTAGTGCTTATATGAAGCTGAGAGCAGGAAATCCAAGCTCTCTGGCACCCGTGTGTTCAGTGTGAGCACCAGACCTCACCATCTGCTCATTGGGTTAATTACTATATAGGAAAAACTACAAGAAAAAAACATCTTCCAGAGTGATAATTTGATTTAGGTTGCCCTGCTTGAGGCCTGACACAAACAGGACCAGTTTTGAGATGGCAGCTGACTTGGCAGGAGTCAGTCCCTCAGCCAGGCTGCATTTTGAGCAGTCACTTCTCAGACACCACATATGGGATGGGACTCACTCCTGCCTTCCTCTTCACCAAGGCCAGTTGTTGGCTTAGTTCAGTATTACTACAGGAAAGGACTCTGTGGCCAGTATTTAGGAGCTGTGTGAGACAGCTGTGGTGACTGACCATGAGGCACCACCCTCAGCACCAGCATTTAGCAAGATCTGGGACCAATGAAAATGTGGGGAACAACAATCCCTCAAGTGCAGAGAAGCTACAGCAGAGTCTCACCCCTTGTGGTTCCAGGCCAAAATGAGATGCAGCAAGTGGAAATAATTCTTGAGAAGCAGAGCCCTGATGTGCTTTCTCCATTCATAGTAACAGTCCACTTTATGCCAAGTGACTCATTACTGTGAGTGAAGGGAACGTGATTCAACCAGAAAAGCACATATAATTTGCATAGATTACTTTCCCACTTGGTTTCCATGCTGCGAAGTCACAGGCACTGCCTTCAGGAAAATAAATAAAAAATAAATTTAAAAAAAATTAGTTAGTCCCATGAGTAATTCTTTGCTTAAGTATTAAGATATAATAGATTGAAGGGACATTTGGATATGGCAATCTAGAGGAAATCAAAACAAACCAAGCATTGTGTTCCAGTAATTTCTAGTGTTGCAAAAGTGAACAGAAACTATTGTTCAGAGAATGCTTCAAACCCCTTGCAAATAAAGAAATAAACGTTTCTGTGAGCTCATGGAAGAAAGAAAGAGGGGGCAGACTCAGCCACGAGTTGGTTGGATTTCAAGATTTGTTTTCCTTCCCTGGCTGAGTGGATCTTGTGTTTTTGTCACTGGTGACACCAGCCTTATCAGCCTCTGTGGAAAGACCACTGCAGAGCTGGGCTCTGAACAGAGGGTGTTCTCCTTCAGACTTGCACCTTGCTCTGGACACTGCAGCATTTCACAGGACGAAACTCAGAGAGCTTTCGGCATTCATATATCCAGATGTTAACCTCAAACTAGGATGTGATTTCACTTGTAACTGCACTGAAATGCAGTGGCTGCAGTGGGTAGTTTGCAATTTCTTTTGCTGGAGCACTTGCTGGCAGAATCGTGATAAGAATAAGCAACTGGTTCCAGTAAAGTCACAAGGGCAAACCCAAACTGCTTACTTTGTGCATAAATGGTTTAATGTGACAGGGCACAGGGAAAGCAGAAGATCTGTCAGAAAAAATAAACAGGAAAGAAAACATTACTTCAGAATAACTCATCCCAAGTAAATTGAGCTTTCCGAAGAAGCAGCTTGTAAACTATTGGGTTTCAAGAGCTGCATCCTGGCTCCAGGCAATGTATGATGCTTCACTTGACAAACAAACCAAGCTCAAGAAAAAAACAACTCTGCTAGATTAAGACAGCAAGGAGGTTTTGGGAAGAACTGAAGTGACACACTTCACTGAAGTGAAGTCACCAGATACAAGGCTCATTTCACTGCAAGAGAGCAGTCAGGCTTCAGACGAGGCAGATAAACAAACAGTCCTGAAACCCAAAAAACCTTGCCCCACACTTTGAACCAACTGCAAAGATCAATAGACCATACTTTAGGAAATGTGCAGAAGAAAAGTTGCACCTCCTTACAGCAGCACAATGAAGGCATGCAAATCAACCTGCAGCTACAAGCCTGGGGCATTACTCAGCTTTCTGTCCCCAGGCCTGCATCTCCTGAAGCTCTGCCTTGCATTTCTTTTACTTCCAGCTCAGTGGCTCACAGGTGATTATGTACCTGAAATTGTGCTGCTGAAAGAGGAGGTTCACCTCTGCTGTCCTGAAAGATGGGAAATGTCACTGCAGAGATGGGTGAAATTACACCCTCTACGAGGCACTCCTTAACATTCCAAGAAATTTATTTTGAACCTCATATAAGAGACCAGCTGGAAAATAAAGAGAAGACAAGTAATAGAAGGACGCTGCAAAAGCAAATAGAATTCAAAATAACAGAACAAAAAAGAAATGCCTGTGAAGACTCTGATCACCAGCTTCACATTCTGATCGGGTCCATCTCAGCACGTCCCAGCATCTTTGGCAAGTGGGCCATGGTTACAAGTGGCAGCAGTTGGAGAGCTCAGCTCCAACTGAGACCTTCCTTGGGCAGAGCTCCCTGAGGAAAAAGCAATCAAAATGTGCTGGCTGAAAGTTTACAAATGGGGAACTGAGGCACAGGAAGGTTAATAATAAGGACACTTTGCATTTCTTTATTACTTTAAACGGCCCACACCCTTTACAGACGTTGACCCTCCTAATACCCTGGGGAGAGGTGACTGGCTATTATTATCCTGTTTTTTCGCAAGGAGGGTGAAATCTGCCACTCCTCAGGCCAAATAGCTGACAACTGATGAACATTCTTC